GGGAGGGATGGGGGGGGAGGGAAGCTTCGCCTTGACACTAACCACGTAACATATTGTCACCTTTCCAGTGATAAATAATGTCTGGTTCCTAGAGGGAATTAGGAACTTAAATCGTTACACAAACTGACCATCTGGTCGTGAAAGTCCAATAGAAGAACATTAAAAAAAAACACCTTCCCAAATTCAAAAGTGGATCAGACGGTAAAAATTGCGAGCATAGTAAAACCCTTTGGCCTATCTTCTTAACATCCGAAGATATAATTTGTCGTGCTCTGAAATCATTTTCGTGTTTAAAGCTGTTGTGGTGTTCCTACTTAAAATGTTAAGCAATTAACGATATTGATTAGCAATTGATTATGTTGCCACTTAAATGACTAGCGAAACCGAAATTCAGTACTTTTTTTTTTTTTTTCAGTTAACGGCATAACTGATGGAAGATACCATGGCCCTTTGGCCTTCCTCTTTACCTTACGGGACTTCGATCTTTTACCCTCATTTCCTCCGAATTCGTACCGACCAGCGCCAAACGTACTCTCGCTAAAACTGACCATACTTGCAAGGAGAAGAAGGGCGATTAAAAATGCTTGAAGTAAGGTTTTCATTCTTACAGTTGCCAGCAGTAAACGAGCAAAATCGTTCTCAATTGGTGATAGGCCTTAACGGTTCAGAGGTTGATCGTGAATTTCAGCTTTCTTAACTCTGTTTATATATAATTTACAAGTGAAAGCGGTACTATAATGGCATTCTCAAGTTCTTCATTGTACAATTAACGGTGTTTACTGAGGTACAGATAAATACCCTTACTTAAGGGCGGTTTCTCCTTCAGTATTTACACGGTTAAAGATTATATCAATCGATGCCCTGCTCATTATGTAAAATACACAAAGTATGCTTGAGAAAATAAAAGAAAACAGATATGATTACATAGGACAAGCTTAGACTAATATTACATAAGGCGAGTATGAAAAAAACTGCACCTCAAAAACTAAAATAAATTAAAATAATCACTCGGAAGATCTTATTTTAAAAGTTTACTAATTATGTCCAACGGTTCTTAAAGTAAAGTGAAGACGAAATTGAAATTTCGCCGGAGACCATTTTGTTTCAAAAGTGTCTGGGTTATGCTATAAAAGGCAATTTATTTCAGTGGGAAGCACAAAGCCTGAAGCCAGACTTAAAAATCATGAGTAAGACCAAGAAAACGCGCGCGACGAAAAAGCAGACATTAAAAAAAATAAAGAATAAAAACGAGAAAAGCGTGTATGAGCAAAACAACGACCCTAAAAAGTTTATTTTTGAAATCAACTCTGTTTGCTTTAATAGTTCCTCTTATGAGGTAGAAGTTTAGAACTCAAATAAAAAGTGGATTTCCGCCGATAGAGTGCCGCCTAACCTATCAAATGACAATTACAGTTCAGGAAATAACTCATTGCTAAAAATATCGAGCCCGGAGATCTTAGATAAAATGGGTCAGTTTAAGAAACTGTGGTGGTGTGTCGGCGGTGGGTATTACAAGATAATTTAGATTTTTTTATCAATTGAGTTGATAACGTAAACTGACCGCCATAAAGAGTTACCAAAGCTCTCGTTTTTAACCTTAGTCCCTCGTTGGCCCTTCGTTGGACCTTCGGCACTCACTCTAGCTGACGAAGGGCTAACGAGAGGCTAATGCGAAGAGCTAACGCTCGAATGATCAGCTTTGGAAGCACTTTACTTCAGGCCAATTTCCATGATCAACTCAGTTGGTAAAACCTACTTGTATAGAGATCTTGTAGATGAGCTTTGAGTCACCTAGCTATGCATCTTCTGAGCAAAGTTACAATCACCGTCACTAAGTAATGGATTTTAAGAATTTAAAGACTTTATCTTTTCACTTATGTACTCGAAGCAAACATTTCAGTATAAAAAATGGGCTCAGTCACGGCATTGTCAGTTGATGTTAGTAATTCTATCTCTAATTGATAATGATAGTCCGGCCTCAGCTGAACCTTATCAAACTTAAACATAACTGATTCCGAGAAAGGTAAATGACACTAACCTAAAGTCATAAGGTTGAGATAAGCTGAAGGAATTAAAAGCTTGAATATCTTTCAACTGAATGCAACTTTCAAGTATTGTTTCCATACATGCCCGTGATTTTTCGTTTCATTTTCTTTCTCCAGTTCTTTTTTCCTTGAGATTTAGCACAAGTTCAAGCCATTATTTGTTCAAATCAACAATGATCCCAGGCAATTAAGAGCGCCACTTGACTTGAATTAATTAAGACTTATTCCTATTTATTTCTTCAATCGCTTCATGGAACTATAAGAAACAAAATTAGATAAAATAGTGTTGTTTTTTCTCGGCTTTTTACTGAAGAGATGTTTTTAATTTTCGGGTAAACATTAGTAACCTTCGGTACGACTACAGTGGCTGGAAAGTCGTGTTTTTTGTTTAGAGTTTTCACGTTATATTATACGACGACTCGGCTTGAAAAGATATCTCTACTGGAAACTCATTTAAAGCGTATACTTTCGCTAATTTCACAGCAATAATAAGAAAAATCTAAGTGAGACAGTTTGCAGTTTAGGGAAGTTTTCGACTGAATGTTGAGACTTATCTGGAATTACATCGGTTTTCCTCTCTACTCTCTGTGACTGGTCCAGAAAACTAGCGTAAGACTTACAACCAATCAGATGTAACTTAAAACCCATCGTTACTTAGTTGTTCGCATTTCCTGCGCTTTGAATTCGGGAAGTTTGTTTTTGTTACTTTGAGTTCTCATTGGCTACCGTACTATTTGACTTTGCTCTGATTGGCTGTTCGGGTATCTGTTTTTTTTTTTTTCAGAGGTTCAGGGGCCTTAACGCAAGTTACTTAGAATACCTATTAACGAAAAGAGAAAAAAGTATTTACATATCTTTAATACGCACAAACTACATTGAAGTTTTTGCAGAATTACTTTTAATGAATTTGACATGGCTGACATGTTTGCATTAACAACTATATTGAGTTTTCATTCTTTTATGCAGTTCTATACACCTATTTATTATACTTTACTCTACTTATGACACTTTCTGCAGCTGTACATATTCCTTGAAAGAATCATTCATGTTTTCTAAACATCAGCAGTTTCGTTTAGCCAACTCGCACAGCTCTACTCCACGAATATGCATTTTTTCATCCTAAAAGAATAGATCAGTAATTGTGGTTAAAGGTTTAGGAAGCACAGAAAACTGTCTCAAACGTGTACTAGCAAGTTATTCAGAAAACAATCACAATGACAAAGAACATCCGTGAAACTTTCTAAACTCTTAAAATTGTTCAAATTGGGGATCTTAATTTTGAAACGGATGGTTTAAGACTGCATAGGATTGTAAACCGGCAGCGTCACAAAAAAAACACGCACTGCAGTTTTATTTAGCCAGGTATGAAAAACCAAACGCATATCGAAAATGCTTTCAGTATATGTTGGATATTTCCAAATTTAAATAGGCCTAAAAATAATAACTAAAACTACAATACATGGAAAGAGCTGGTACTTGGTAGAAAACTTAACGCAGCGGAACGACGCAGGATAAAACATAGAGATAGCGTTAGATGGAGAGCGTATCCGACCTATTTGGGCTCCGCCAGTGTTAGATCGGTTCAATAAATACTCCACAAAGGTGAGAAAACTTTAACTGTTTAACCAATAAGGGTGACTCGCCTCCCTGACGAAAACAACCTGAAACAATCAACTTCTCCTGTAAGCCGCTCGGATCTCGCACTTGGCCAAGAGTGCAAAAGCGCTACCAGAACCCCTGGAATACTAATCTCATAAAGTGGAAGAACACTGACTATGTAATGATGAGATGGGGAGAGACAGGGCAATTAAGGATTACCAAGATTAACTCTTATTTAGTTACAAACAAGGAAGTTAGTTTACCTTTCGAGCGAGACGGAGAGTTCTTGCTGCAAAAGGCAAAACGGTGTCTTTGGCAGGTCCCTTTGGGAAAGAACATAATTAAATTTAGTTACTTAGTTTCCTTTAGTCATCTGATTTCCAACGATTCAGGGGAGGCATATAACAGCATTGAAATGTTTTGAGGAATTATCCTAAAATGTAACAAATATCGAAAAAACGGATGAAACAAATAGGGCTCCAGTATATTTTTATGTTTTTGAAAGTTTTCCGAACCTCAACCTCTTTAAGTATCGCTCTTTTCTTTCCGACATTTCTCCCGTTTCCTAAAAAACTTTCTCCTTCGCCAACCATCATCACGACTAATACCAGAGCTAAAAACAGTGCTTGAAGTTTGTCGTTCATTGTTCTACAAATCCCGTTGGAACGACTGATGAATGACCGAAAACGTCGCAAACTATATATGACAGTTAGCTATGACATTATCTGCTTATCTTCAAATATTGGATTGAAAGGACAGTTCCTCGTCTACGGTCCGTAAACTGATGTTTGCATACACTTATTCTAGCCATTAAAACCTCCTACGATCTCCATTTTGTTTTTTATAGATACGATAAGTGGAAGATAATGAAGACAGGTTCCTTTGGTAGTTAGCTTTTGTTTGTGCCACTCTGCTGATATTCTAGGTCAGTTTTTGCCTCAAAAAAGCAAGTCTGAAAAGATGTGTCAGAAAAAGAGAACCCCATTAAACATTGAAGCAATAAAGGACTTTTTCCAATGCACGATTTTCAAAGCAGGCAAAGCGCTGAAGTTTTTCTCTCTTTTTCAATTTTTTTTTTCCTGTTTTTTAAATCAAGTTCAATGGGAAGAGATTTGGCAAATATTTCTCCATTTCTAATGTTTATTATTTATTTGTACTTGAGATGACTTTGCGAGTATTGCAAAAGCTCTGAGTTTGAAATGTTTCCAAATATGCTGGCAAATACAAAAAGCGTGACGTCACGATACATACTCTCATCTAAAATCACCAGTTGACCAATGAAATTGCGCGTACTATCTGAATAGTTTGGCGTTCATTATCAATAAGTTCTCAATAGTATTTTATAAAGGATATAACATTATCTATGAGGGTAAAAGATACCATAGAAAAAATGCATTTTGATAACATCTAAAATTACGATAGTATTTAGAAAAGTTAATTGATTATGGTCATAGACGGTGATTTCGTTTCCCTAATATCTCTTGAGGCCAGATACAATCACTGTTTACTTACGTAAGAGATCAATTATAGAATTAAGCTTTTCCTGCCCACGTACGTACCCGAGGCAAACATTTCAATTTAACGAAAGAGCTAAGTTACGGCACTGTCGGTTGATAGAAGTAATTCTGTTTATTTTTTACAGTAATATTGCTCAGCTGAACGTCAATTAAACGCAGGTAGTTTCCGACAAATGCAAGTGAACTATCCTTGAATCTAAGGATAAGATAAGCTCAGGGAATTGAATTATTGCATCATTTTGAAATCCTAACTGGTGCAAAGCGCTATAATTTCCTCCAGTTTCTCCCATTTTTTGTTTCAATTTCTTTTTTATTTTTCCTGAGGTTTCTCACAATTTGAAGACAACACCATTACAATCAACCATGGCCTCAGAAAATCAAAACGCCACCCTTAGCTCAAGGTCTTCTTAAGTTTTCGGTTGTTGTAAGTAGTTCAGTTTATTTTTAACAATGGTAGTCCTCAACTGAACCGTACAACAATCAAACAAAGGCAGTTTCCGAGAGATGTAAATGACACTATCTCTGAGTCTGAGGCTA